GGGGGGGTGAGGGGTGGGTCCGTATTTACTTATACCATCGAGCTCATGGTATCAGGCAGCACTCTTTTACTGCAGCTCTGGGGCTAACAAGACTAACTATTAGAAGTGTTTTAGTTTTAGGAAGAGTTTAATGGCACTTGCAACACACTAAGGTCATGTACATGTAAGCGCCAAAGATTAGAGGTGTTGCAAGAGAGTAACAAATACAAAAAAGAAGGAGGAAAGATAAGGACGATAGATGTTTGATAGGAAAAAAGGAGCAAACCACATGACAGCACCCGCCAAACAACCACTTTCAGAAGACTAAATGACACGAAATATTATAGAAATATGAACCTAGGACAGGAGTTTTCAATTCATCACTCTTTAATATAGATTTTAAAATTCACAAGGATTCATAATAGTTGATCAGCATCTGTGGTGTTTCTGTCAGGCAGTCACATTAAAAAAAGCCGAGTTTGGTGCGCATGTGGATTAAATTCTTATATTGATTATCTCTGCCTATCTGCTAGGACATAGTATCCCTCTCACCCCAGTTTGGTCCCAGTAGACAAGATACAAGCCGCCTCCTACATCATTTACATTGTGTCATTGGGGACATAAAAACCACCTACACAAAAAAAGAGAAAAGTAAAATAGCTGAAAACGGAATCTATGTTGATGCGTAGACGTTCTTCACTCTTGTTTGCAAAAAAAACCAAGAGTAAATTTCCTGAGTGGGAAAGTTTCCTTTATCAAGTGGAATCGGTAGTCCAGTGGTCAGGTTACCAAACTTGTATTCATGAGGTTGTGGGCTTGGAGGTTCGAGCCTCAGGCCCAACGTTATGTTCTTGGGAATAAAGGCATTTTAAACAAATTGTACTCATTTCACCCTGGTGAGAATGGGTACCGAGCCACAGACAGCGAAAGATTTTGTCAGTATGTCAGTGTTTTAGAGCCTATAAAAAATGGCAGTTTGCAGTGTATGCTTCCCAGGGAATTGAGATTGTATCAAAATGCTATCAGGTCAGCAGGGGTAATAATATAGATTGTAATTTGTAAAGTGCATAGAGCTTGCTGTTAAGTGAGCATTTGCGCAATACAAATGCTATCTATCTATTATTATTATTATCATTATTTTCCTGTCTGCTGAGACACAGTGTCTACTCAGTGCAGGTTGGCCCTAACAGCCAGCCTCCTAAATGATCTAAATTGTATCAAAGAGGGTGTAGAACATTTACAAAACAGCTGAATGCAAACAAGGCGAAGACATTGTTCATAAATTGCTTATTTAATGGTAATTGTGATAACAGTAGCATGAACACAATTGTTCTGTCATTTGTCCCACATTAACTGTTTCCCAACCAAACCATTTTCCTCTTTGTAACCAAGCCCCTTTGGCGACCATTTTATCTATTCTGATGGCAACCAGAAAAAAGATAATTTCTCGTAATTTTCCTGTTTAGTTTTAGAGAGAGTTTTACCGCACTTGCAACACATAGATGATAAAAGTGCTGAAGATAAGAGGAGTTACTACAGAGTAACATTCAAAGCAAAGAAAAAGGAGAGATATCAACAATAGACGTTTGAAAGGAGAGAAGCAGTAAACCACACAAGAGCACCCACCAATCATCCACTTCAACATTTTACAAAGAAACTCAAGTGTTACACATCAAAATACAGGGAAATTATTATCATTTTTTTATCAGACATTTCAAAGAAATAAAATAGTTCTCTAAAGATAAAACAGTGGTTTGTCTCTGTCATAAAACTCTGTGTAGTATTATGTGTACTTTGGCACCTAACGTCAAACGGACAACTTGGCAACCCGAGGGGACCCACAGAAAGAGGCTGGCGAGACTTCCGGGTCGGGATCTGGACATGAGGTAAACACAACATGGTGGCAGCCTTTACTCTAAGAACCCAGAATCAATGTCAATCTATACATATCGTGCAACATCTAGACAAAATAATAAAGATCTAGAGATCTAGGGATATTCTGAAGGACTGAGCACATTTATTGTTTAATAACTCAGGTAATTAGTGTGTAAACGGTGATCTAGATCTAGCCCAGAGATGGCCGAAGAGGAGACCACGAAACCGGTCATTGCAGGTATCAAACCACCGGACAAACCGGTCCTGGGGTCTAATCCAGTAGAAAACTGGAAGTTATTCAAGCAAAGATGGAATACATATGCCCTCCTCTCACGTCTAGAAAACTAAGATCAAAGGTTCCAAGTTGCACTCTTTCTCCATAGCTTGGATGACGAAGCACTCCGAATCCACAATGGGTTTCAATTCACTACAGGTGAAAGCGACCGCTCACTTCAAGAAATTATCAAAAAATTCTATGAGTTCGTCATAGGTGAACAAAATGAAACTTACGAACGTTTCAAATTCAATAAGAGAAACCAAGCACACGGAGAAGCCTTCGACACATTCCTGGCAGATCTTAGACGACTTGCTAAAAGCTGCAACATTTGCAACGACTGCAGAGACTCATTGATACGAGACAAAATTGTCACGGGCATTGAAGACCAACAGGCTCGCACAGACTTACTAAAGGAAAGGCAACTCACACTGGAAAAATGTATACACATCTGCCGTTCTGCAGAGGACGCCGCAACCCAGGGCAAAGCTCTTCAAGACTCCATGACAGCAGACGTAGAGGCAGTGAAATGGAACCAAAACCAAAGACAACTTACGAATCGCAACCCTCAGCGCTCCTATCCCAGTGCACAAACGCAATCTCAACACCAACACGTACCTAGTAAGCTCACTTCATCCTGCCGATTTTGTGGCTATTCCAACCACCCACAGACTCAATGTCCAGCTCGTACAGCACGTTACAACACCTGCAACAAACAAACTCGGACATTACCAAAAGGTTTGTTGCTCAGGGACTGAACAAGCCTCAGAGACACTAGAGCCCAGGTCCAAACAGGTGGCTGAGGTGCAGGTCAACTTGGATTTACATCCTGGCTCAGAAGATAAACCTCCTAATGCGTTTCTTGGACAAGTGCACCAACTCACAGACGACAGCGATTGGACAGTTGGGATCCAGATAGATGGACATCTGCACCCTTTCAAGTTGGACACTGGTGCTCCAGTTACAGTCATGGGTGAAAAAGACATCAATGTTGCCCCCAATGAACTTAAACGACCAGACAAACTACTCCATGCTGCGGGAGCACAAAACGTGACTGTTCTAGGCTACACAACAAAGACCTTGAGTCACAAAGACAAGAGAGTGGTAGAGAAAACGTATATTGTGAAAGGACAACAGCACTCGCTCCTGGGCCGCGATGCATGTGTCAAGTTGGGATTAGTCACTAGAGTACAAGAACTTGAAAAACCGAAGCCAGATTTCAAGTGAGAATTTCCCAAACGTTTCTCAGGTCTGGGCACGTTGAAAGAACCTTACACCATTAAACTGCATGAAAACATAGATCAATCGCACATCTACACACCTAGGAAAATAGCCCACCCCCTCTTGCTTAAGGTAAAAAAACAGCTAGAACAGATGTTGGATCAAGGTGTTATTTCAAAGGTAACAGACCCCACAGACTGGTGTGCAGGAATGGTAGTCGTCCCTAAACAAGACGGTTCAATTCACATATGTGTCGACTTAACAGCTCTCAACATCCTTTGAGGTCCGTAGAGGAAGACCTTGCACAGTTCGCAGGCAGTAAATTTTTCACAAAACTGGATGCAAAATCGGGTGGTTTCTGGCAAATTCCGCTATCAGAGGAATCTCGAAAGTACACTACCTTCCTGACTCCATTTGGCCGATTCTGCATGAATAGGCTACCCTTTGGAATTTCATCAGCATCAGAAGTCTTCCAGCGCGCAATGGTAGAGATTCTTTGTGAACAAGATGGCACAGTATGTCACATCGACGACATTATCATACATGCCCCAGACAAAGACACTCACGACAAACGAGTACGAGAGGTGATGAAATGTCTCCAAGACGCAGGCCTCACTTTGAATGTAACTTCAGCAGTAGCGGATTACTATTCTCGATGGCCAGAAATAAGGACACTAGAAGAGCTGTCAAGTGGACATGTGATCATCAAGCTGAAATCCATCATAGTCATAGCGACACATGGAATACCCGATGTCATAGTCTCAGACAATGGGCCCCAATTTGCAAGTATGCAGTTCCAAAAATTTGCTCAAAACTACGGTTTTACCCACATTACCAGCTCACCCCGATATCCCCAAAGTAACGTCATGATTGAGCGAGCCATTGAAACTCTTAAGAATCTATTGAAAAAGGCTGATGACCCCTACATTGCACTTTTAAATTACAGGGCCACTCCTCTTCTGAACAAATTTTCTCCCAGTGAGCTTTTAATGGGCCGGAAATTGCAGACAAAATTGCCCATCATGGAACAAAAGCTACACCCTCAATCACCAAATCCAGTGCTTCTCCAAGAAAGGGAGAATAACTACAGAGAAGACATGTACAAGCAGCACAACATGCGCCACCTCGCCAGAAAGCCACAGCTTAGTTTGAACCCTGGAGACAACATCTACGTCAAAGACATGGGACGGAATGCAAAGGTAATCAAACAACACCATAGCCCGAGATCATACATCATTCAGCCGGACAACAGTGATTCACCAACACGGAGGAACAGAAAAGCCCTCATACCAACTGATCCTCAAGATGAACAAATTATAAGCCTACCCATGCAAGACCACGAACAGATACAGAATACTCCGGTGGTTCACAGCGAGCCCCCACCCATGCCTCTACAACAACAGCCGTTAACTCCTCGAGCTACCAGTACCAGCAGCTTTGGGAGGACCATCAAGCCACCTCAGAGGCTAGACTTGTAAAACATCTGAGGGAGAGATATAAGGACAACTCACAAGAGCTGAGTCTTGTCTTTGAACATTTATTTTCATTTTCATTCCACTTTTATTTCCTCATCGCCTTTGAGTTATTGTGCAAACAAGACAGTGTGCAAAGTGTATAGATCTAGATCCAGATTTACATTTCATTGGCACTCAACAAACATTGAGAGTTTTAGTGAAGGGACACCACTACTTTAGGGAGGGAGATGTAGTATTATGTGTAATTTGGCACCTAACGTCAAACAGACAACTTGGCAACCCGAGGGGACCCACAGAAAGAGGCTGGCGAGACTTCCGCGTCGGGATCTGACATGAGGTAAACACAACTCGAGGAGTTAACGGCTGTTGTTGTAGAGGCACAGGTGGGGGCTCGCAGTGAACCACCGGAGTATTCTGTATCTGTTCGCGGTCTTGCATGGGTAGGCCTATAATTTGTTCATCCTGAGGATCAGTTGGTATGAGGGCTTTTATCAGACATTTCAAAGAAATAAAATAGTTCTCTGAAGATAAAACAGTGGTTTGTGTCTGTTATAAAAGTCTGCAGAGGACGAGATTTTTGAAAGTCATCAAGTCATGCCCCAAAATACAGCTCACAGTGGGGAAAAAGTCAAAGGGAAATTCTAAACAATGGTGACAAAGCAGAGAAGAAATGAACCTGAAGGCACACAATATCACAGGCGAATCAATAGAGTTCTCTCTCAGAACTCAGTCAAAAAAGTCCTCGATATCAATACCAGGCTCTAATAAGTTGTCTTTGAAAGGCGTCAAGTCAATCGCATTCAGAATCAAGTTCTCAAATGTCTCCTCCAGGTCTGTTTCTCCTATCAAGATAGCTCCCATCAATCGTCCATTTTGAAGAATGGCTTTGACATATTCCTCACCTGAAAAAAAACATGCCATTATAAAAAAAGTATTGTTTTTTTTTATTTTTTGAGAAGAGAGAAGCACATCAACACAATACTAGTCATGAAATGCGCAAAACGAGGAAGACACCCAAACAGAAACAAAGAGAGAAGGAAAAGAAGTAGGGCCTGCCTACCTATGGCCGCTGCCAGCTACCTGCAATAAATATTGAATTACAGTTCACATAGTAAATTCAAGATACAAAGATCAAAGGACATCTTTTAATTAAAGTCTAATCTGCAACACAGCAATAAAAAATGACTTTTAGTTTTAGTAAGTCTTTTACGGCACTTGCAACACAATAAGGTCATATAAGTGCCCAAGATTAGAGGTGTCAAAAGAGAGTAACAAATACAAAAAAGAAGGAGAGGTCAAGATGATAGATGTTTGTTAGGAAAGAAGGAGCAAACCACATCCGAGCACCCGCCAACCTCCCACAAAAATGTGTTTTTTTCTTTAAATGTATTATTAATTATAAATAAAGCATGCACGAATGCACATTTGCATGCACCGACACATTGGATCACTTTGTGTCCTCTCATGGAAGTAAGAACACAAAGAAATTAAAAAATGGAAGTTTGAAGTAAAAATAAATGCCTTAAAACACATAAAAACACAAAGGACTACACATCTATAGAGTGACTGATGCATAAACGTGTGTGAACAGTCACATACGCATTCATTAATATGCACAAGTTACTTTAATACAAACACACAGAATATTCTAACAAAAAAATACATGACAAAATTCAATAAATCTATATTTAAATCAGTAAAGGTCTTGTTGAAATTTTCGACCAGAAATGACTTGACCTACTATGCACATCTGGGGTTTCCACTCCCTGTAGGGCCAACATGGGAATAGTCATTATGTCACACACGACAGACAATATAAACTTATTTGAAGAAAGGAATTTGAGTTTAATTTTAAAAAGCACATCAACACAGTAAAAGTCATTTAGTGCTTGGTAAAAGAAAGACAGACAGAACAGAAATAAAAGAGGGAAAGTAAAGAAGTAGGACCTACTAATGGCATCCTCCAACCACCCGCGAATAGGAAGACCTCAACTAGACTAAAATTCGTGGACAAAATACCATTAACCAAACTCACAAATGAAAACAGACACACACAATCTGACACAAAACCAGAAGCACAGGCAGCACACTAATGCACAGACAACTATACAGTTTGAATAACAAAAAAATAAACACATCTTGCAAGCCTTTCTATGCCATGACTTCATACCTTTGGACACTCGAAGCAAAATTTCAAAGTCATCACCAAGTCCCTGAGCGTTGAACTTGCCTAACAAAACAACCTAAAGAAAAATAGAGACCGAAAACAAAAAAAATCATACCATAACAATTTACATACTCTTTGGTCACTGAAAACATACAGTCAACCTCGGATATAACAGGACAGATGGGACCTGTTATAACCGTTATCAAGGGAAACTACCAGTACCATTGCACCTTCAGCTTACAATACATATTTGATTACAGCAGATCCTTTCACAGTGGGCTGTTTTGCTGACACTGAGGGGGTGGTTGGGTGGGGAGGTTGTGTTTAGGCAAGCGATCATACAAACAGGTGAGATGTCTCGGTAGAGACAAATTTGAATAATTTGACAGATTGAAAGCAAGTTCATGTGCTGCAAGATCACTGTTATATCCGAGTCTGTGCAAATTGAACCCCGTTATAGCCAGGTTCATATTACTTACACTAACAGAGAAAAAAAAAACACGGGGATTTGATTTATCACTTTATGTCCAAATTCTTGTAACAAAGGAGGCTGTTATAAATGGACTGCACTGTAACAGCATTACACAGCATTGTGCATATCAAGAGCTGACTTGGGTTGACAACAGATTTCTTCCAACTCAATCTGCACATTTTGGCATTTAGCCTTAGCCGTAACCACCTCCCCCACCCCCAAAAGAAAAAAACAACAACAAAAAAACCCAAAACAATACCAAAAAAACCTCTAACTAGATTAAATTCCTAATAGAAGAATAAGACACTAACTCACAACTGAGACAAAGACAGTCAGCTAGTGCTGACAGGAAGCCAGCATCAGGCAGAAATAAAAGACAAAGAAGTGCTGTATACCTCCCATGAAGCCAAGAATGTTTCAGGGTATAGAAATGCAATTATCATTATTAAAATCATTACCAAGTATGTGAAACAGGTAGAAGAACTTCCCATCCCAACATATTTCATTTGGAACCACTTTGAACAAAAATAAATACAGTTGAACCAGCTATAATGGCAGCCTGTCTCAGATAATCACCTCCACAAATGACAACTTCCTGCTAGCCCCTTGATCTTTTTAAAAAATACTATGACGACAGTATTCAAAACATCCACCTATAGATCTAAGACAACCACTAGTGAGGCAGTGTGACGAATCAGGCACTCGTATATTTATTGGTAGCATCTTAAAGTTAGTTCATTTGTTTTGTTCGAGATGAAAAAAGCATTCATTTATCTTGGATACAAGTCGAGATATTGGTGATTGAAAGAGTCAGGGTCACCTGGTTTCAAAGATAATATTTGCAAGAAAATGGCCGCCAAAGTTGTGATTCCTTAGCTTGAGATTTGCATTTTTTGGGGCCTTAAATCAGTGTTTTTCAATAAAATCCACACAGAAATGTGTTCTTTAATGGACATGAAAGGGGTTGAGCAAAAAAACAAAAAAATTTGATAAAAATTCCCAAACCTGCAGAAAAATGCCAGTTTCTTCATTTTTATTATTTTGACGAGCGCCTGATCACATTTTTCTCTTCAATAATGGGTGGACATATAGGACAATTTCGACTGTACTGTGATAATATTGTACCCTCTATCTTCCTGATGTCATTTTGACCCTAAAAAAAGTAGACTCAAAGTATGTACAGACCTAGCTCCACTTCGCTAAAACAGTTTTGTGACCTCCATAGATTTCAAATCTTCCCACAAGACACAATGAAACTGAAAAATAAAGATGTAGAACTTATCAGAGACTCCTTCAAACCACCCAGGACCTCAAAACAAACTAAACCATCAACCTCATTGCCCTCACCTTAAATCGGAAAAACGTCGTGACATGAGCGAAAAGTTCGAAGCAGAAATCCATGACAACATCCTCTCCTGAGTGAGATGCCACCATGCACTTTGCCGCATAACAACCCATCTGACGTGCTTGGGTCCACAGTCGCATCTGTGCGGAGAGAAAGATAAAGTATATAAGTTTAATCCAAATGAAAAACATGTATTAAATTTCTTCCAGTCACTTTCTAAGCATGTGGTGGCTTTATTTGAACAAACACAAGTGAAAAGCCTAGTGCAGTACATTAATATGATGTAAAATGCTCAGGGGAATTTTTTTGACTAATTACATAGCACAAAATACCCCCAAAATACCTGACAATATTTTGCTCTCACTTGCAATTTATAGGTCAGAGAGACTCAGAGATTTAATTTTATTTATTTCATGGTTTTTGGTGTATTTTATTCTTACCGGATCGAATCTTCTTCTCAACCAAAATTTTATACGGTAAAAATGTTATAAGTGAGGCAGCGTGGTGAAATCAGGCGCATGTCAAAATAATGGAAAGTCAAGAAACTGGCATTTTTCTGCAGGTTTGGTAATTTTTATCAAATTTTTTTTCTCGGCTCAACACCTTTTATGCCCACTAAAGAACACATTTATGTGTGAATTTTACTGAAAAACATTGATTAAAAGCATGAAAGAAGTAAATTTTCTGTTTCAACAGACTCTCAAACTAAGGAAATAACTCAACTTTTGCAGCAATTTTCTCGCTTATTTTACCTCTGAAACCATAACCCCCGCCTCCTTCAATCGCTTACATTTTGACTTTTATCCAACATAAATGGATATTTTTTTCATTAAAAGCAAGGCAAATGGACAGGCTTAAGATGATACCAATACCTCCATATGCCCCAAAATTGACGAGCGCCTGATTCCACCGCATCATGACACATATTCAATTGCATCCAAAAACAGTTTTCAGACTAAAGACTCTCAACCCTTTGGATAAATAACGAAATCGGTACATCGTGTCCCATGTCCTGGAGGGAGCTAGAATAGGCAACAAAAGCTAAAAGAAGAAAACATCACAATCCAACTCAATTAAATCTTAACATTAATAGGTTTACTCTTTTTTTGTTTCTTCTAGACTTTGATATATTGCATGTTTATTTACTCGTGTTCTCATAGTGAACAATTATCTGACACGAATGAGACTATTAACATAGCACCCTAAAAATGGACAGTAATAATAATAATAATAATAAAAATAATAATAATAGATAGTATTTGTATAGCGCAAATTCCCAGTCAACAGCAAGTTTTATGCGCTTAACAATCTATACTGTTACCCCAATAGACCAGATAGCATTCTCAAACAATGTGAGCTTCCCAGGAAGCATACCCCAGGATTAAAGAAGAAGAAAAAACCCCTAAAAACCAGGAACCTGTAGCCAATGAGGGGAATGCTCCCAGCATGCAGTGCAAACATCCCCGGCAGCAAACACATGTGGCTGTGACGTCTCCATCTTGTCGTTGACCCGGAGACCACCGTCTGAAGCCAGCTCAAAGTGGTTGCCCGGCAACACGGTATCGGTGAAGGGGACCACACCTGTGGCACTGACCACCAAGTCACAGCCGTAGATTTTCCCGTTGGTCAGTTCTACGTAGGCCGGCCAAGAAGGGTGATCTGGACAACGTCACAAAGTTGAGTGGGTACAAGTCGGCGGAAAACAAGATCTAAGAACATAAATGCAGTCATAATCGTCCAAGACAGCCATTCATTGTCAAGGAGAAAAGAGGTTGCCTTAGACAGGTGGAAATTTTGAACAATATCATTATAAATAATAACATGTGGCTTGTGTGGGTGAGCCACTGGCAGGGGCTTGGGCATATCCATTTACAGCGACTTTGATATCAAATTACTTTTCAGCAATTGCAGAAACAAGTGTCTTTCACCAGGAGTTCATTCATTTGATGAACTATTGAAATAGGTTCACTTGTTTTGATTAAATGACCAAATTTGGTGACCTATATGTCAACTTCAGATTTCATACCAAAAGAAGGCCTCGGACATTAATTAAGAGTTAATATATAGCTAGGGGAGAAAAGTGGGAAAGGGTCACTAGTACTGATGATTTTTCGAACAGGTGGCCTTCAGAGCAGCTTCGATTGTGCGGCCTTTACTTTTGCAAAAAGAGAAGAACAACATCCTAATAACAGTTATCAAGCAAAGAGAAGCAAAACTTACAGACAGATACAAAGAAGGATAGAAAAGAAGTAGGACCTGCGTGTGGCACCCACCAAACACCCACAAAAATCGCTGGTAGAGTACTGAGAGTACAGTTGATGCAAACCGAAAGAAAGAGGAACGAACTATGACGATACAGATGTGTGGTTGAAGAGATAATATGTGAGAGAGAGTGTGTGTGTATGGGAGTGCGCACGCATGCCCGTGTGTTATGTGTATGCATGAGTCTCTGTATGTGTGTGTTTGAGTGCATGTGTGTGTGTGTGTGTGTGTGTGTGTGTGTGTGTGTGTGTGTGTGTGTGTGTGTGTGTGTGTGTGTGTATGCGTGTGTGTCTATAGGTTTGACTTTGGCCAGTGTGTATGTGTGTGTCTATGGGTGTGACTTTGGCCAGTGTGTATGTGTGTCTATAGATTTGACTTTGGCCAGTGTGTATGTGTGTGTCTATGGGTGTGACTTTGGCCAGTGTGTATGTGTGTCTATAGATTTGACTTTGGCCAGTGTGTATGTGTGTGTCTATGGGTGTGACTTTGGCCAGTGTGTATGTTTGTGTCTATGGGTGTGACTTTGGCCAGTGTGTATGTTTGTGTCTATGGGTGTGACTTTGGCCATTGTGTATGTGTGTGTCTATGGGTGTGACTTTGGCCAGTGTGTATGTTTGTGTCTATACAGTTTCACTAACCATTTTAACTCTCCCCCCACCCTCTATAGTAATACTGACCATTTATAACCCCCCCCCTCTATA